AGAAGGAGGGGAGGTGAACCCCGTTCTCTGTTCTTTGGTTCCCCTCTCCCCAATCTGCACCCACTGAGATTCAAAGGCTAGCCTGTTTCGGTGTACAGAGATTCCAATTTTCATGGCTGCTGCTCACTGATTAAATAAGCCTCAATCCTCCCTAAAAGTTAAAAGGACTAAGCCGAGGCCACTATACTTGAGTCACATCATGAGAAGGCAAGTTGTTGTTCAGTCGCACAGTCGAGTCCGACTCTTTGCGACCCCATGGACCAGCTCCCGCCAGGCCTTCCGGTCTTCCGCCATCCTCTGAAGTTTGCTCAACTTCATGTTCGTTGCATCGATGACACTGTCTAACCAAGACTCACTGGAAAAGGCAATAATGTGAAGATTTCCAGAGCATCTCCTCCAGCTCTCTTCGTAAGGGCAATTTTCAGAGCCTTTACATCTATGCTAATTCTCTCTAAAGTCTTGATGGCTTCTTAGACGTTAACTCGAAATTCTGCAACCCTCCTCCATCTCCAAAGGGATAACACCGCCAGTCTTAAGCCTCTTCCTTCTTGGTCTCATCCACGGGGCCCAGTGGCATCTCACAGGCTTCTTGATCTTGAGGTCAGGTTCAAGCTCTTTTCTATCAGCCGAATTTAAGACGACACTTTCTAAAAACATCTCCCGGGAAGGAGTTAAGTCCTTGTAAATCTTTTCTGTTTCTCTCATGCTTTCCCTCCTTGTCTCTTTGAGATCGCTGTTAGTTTTAGTGTCCAAGTAATAAACTAACACGTAAGCTTAGAAAGACAGGATCTCACAAAGTATATTGTTTATTAACAGTTTTTTCTTTCATTCATTACTAACTGCAGTCTAACAGGGTAATGATCTCCTACTCTTGGGATTTTAGTTTAGTGTGGGTTACTTTTCTTTCTCCTTAGTTGTAGTTCCCCTTCTTTTCTTTGTAGTTTATGTAGTATTATAAAAAATAAAAAAATCTCCTCCAGGGGTCTTTAAAAAAGAAAAGAAAAGACAATCATGCTAGGAAAAGTGAAAGGCAGCAGGAAAAGCAGAAGACCCACCATGAGATGGATCGATGCAATCAAGGAAGCCGCTGTCCTCGGTTTGCAAGACCTGAGCAACAAAGTGTTTTGGAGGTCATTACTTCATAGGATTGCCGTGAGTTGTAAGTGACTTGATGACATTTTACCTGCAAATCGAACCTCCGAGGCTTTTCTTTTGACTTGTGTTGCGTTTCCTCACGCAGATTTTTCCCCCCTGTTAAAACTGACACATTTCCCTGCTAATCGTGCATCAACAGGTTATCCAAACTGGGAACGGCAGCTGCAAAAATCGTTGGAATGGAAAAAGGGGGGGGGAGAGAAAGAAACCAGGTGTGTTCATATAAATGGTTAGTCTACCCGGCCCACCCTTCCATAGTTGTGTCTAAACTTTTGTGTTGGATCCCACAGATCCATTCTACTAGCAGTGGCACTTTCTTGAGGCAGGTTACCCAGAATCTACTCCTTTCTATTTAAGGTCACCCAAGCTAGTGTTCCATGAGCCTTGGCCACATGACCACGGAAACGTCTTCAGACAGCGCTGGCTCTTCGGCTTTGAAACAGAGATGAGCACCGCAACCCTAGAGTCGGACTTGACTGGCTTTCGAGCAAGGGAACCTTTACCTTTACCTTTTAAGCTGGTGTCCAGTTCTGTATGTATCTTCTGTTCATGAGACAGTTAGTCGGCAGGTGCAGTTTCTTGTACAGGAGTGAAACCCAAGCTCGACAACTGGATCTCCATCCCTCTGTAACTGGTTTTCAATTCCCATGAATGGGAGTACTTGAATGACTCGTGGTCCACTGGCAACACAAGGTTGGAGAGCGGCAGATGGTCTAGTGGGCTCAAACAGATGAAATAAAAAAGGCAGCCTCGATCTGCCTTGGGGCTGTGCAAGGATGAGAGAGGTCGTTTTAACCCTCCAGCCTCCCCTTTGTTTTAGCCTTTGAAGCTGGGCACCCTTCTGCGTTGACGGCATTTTAAAGGGGAGGGGAAAAGGTGTGGGTTCAAATGCCAACATGAGGAAACGTTAACGTGGGCCTAAAATGCTTAATAACAAGCCAAGGGCCCGATTTCAGACAGTGAAACCAAACGAAGGCGGAGTGGTTAACCCTACCACACCCTTCCTTGCTCCGCTTACCAAACTGGGGCTGCAATCTATTTACCTGTTTGTTTGCATTTGATGGAAGGAGTGAGACATGGCGTGATCTCTGTCTTTTCTGTTGGAGCCCTTAGTGCCAGCCAGAATTTTTGGGGGGGGAAACGTTACAAAAGGGCACGTGAAAATGTCAGTGTGCTGCAACTGGACTAGAAGCTCCAGCCAAGGAATTATTTGGTTTAACTCAGAAGAAGAAGAAAAAAAGGAGGTGGAGGAGGAGATTTGAATTATACCCCGCCCTTCACTCGGAGTCTCAGAGCGGCTTACAAACTCCTCTCCCTTCCCCTCCCCACAACAGACACCCTGGGATGTAAAAGAAGAAGACAGAAGAGATTGGATTTATACCCCGCCCTTCACTACCCAAAGGTGTCTCAGAGCGGCTTTCAAACTCCTTTCCCTTCCCCTCCCCACCACAGACACCCTGTGAGGTAGAAGAAGAAGAAGAGATTGGATTTATCCCCCGCCCTTCACTACCCAGAGGTGTCTCAGAGCGGCTTACAAACTCCTTTCTTTCCCCTCCCCACAACAGACACCCTGTGAGGTAGAAGAAGAAGAAGAGATTGGATTTATCCCCCGCCCTTCACAACCCAAAGGAGTCTCAGAGCGGCTTACAAACTCCTTTCTTTCCCCTCCCCACAACAGACACCCTGTGAGGTAAAAGAAGAAGAGACTGGATTCACTACCCGAAGGAGTCTCAGAGCGGCTTTCAAACTCCTTTCCCTTCCCCTCCCCACAGCAGACACCCTGTGAGGTAGGTGGGGCTGAGAGAGCTCTTGACAGAAACTGCTCTTTTTCAAGAACAGCTCTTGCCAGAACTACGGCTTGCCCAAGGTCATCCAGCCAGGTGCAAGTGGAGGCGTGGGGAATCAAACCCGACTCTCCCAGATTACAGTTCATGCACTTAACCACTACACCAAACTGGCTCTCATGAAACTACTTCTCCCCCCCCCCATCCCAGTCTCCAGACCCTGCCTCTTCGGATTGGAAGGTCATGATGTTTAGTGGCAATGAAAGGCACAGGTGTCTGAATCCCCCCCCCACGCCCACCCCCGGGTGGGTGCAGACCGCTAGGATCCAGATCCTGCAGAGTGGAATCCCACGCAGTGTTATTTCAGTTTAAGCTCATTTGGAGCAACTCCACAAGGGATTGCCCTCTCAGTCGCACATGCAGACACACATGTCCTTCGCCTTCCCTAGTGTACGGCACTTCCTTTTCTTAAACACTACGGAGTGTCAGCACAGCCCTTCCTCATTTGTCTTCCCCTCCCCCCCCCCATTTTGGAGCTACAAATTAAGGGATCTCACTGCCCAAATGGACCAATACATTAAACGTCCTGCATTATTCTGCATTTGGGGCAGCAGGATCCAGCTCTGTTCACCGTATTTGTGTCTTTTTGCCACATTAATGGATACACATGAGTATACAGATAGAAAAGTGCAATAAGCCGTTTTTGATTCGTTGACAAATCTGCCATCTTGACTCCACCTTTCTGCAGTTCGGGGTGTTCCTCTATTTTATTCTCACATCAACCCTGTAAGGTAGGTTAGGTTGAGAGTGATTGTCCCAAGGTCACTCAGCATGCTTCATGGCAGAGTGGGGATCTGAATTTGTGTCTCTCAGATTCTAAGCTGACATTTTAATTGCTTTTCAATTAAAAAAAAACCTCCAAATTTAATTTTAAATCCATTTTAATTTTCTGTAGTTATAGTGGGAGTTTGGTGTAGTGGTTAGGAGCACGGACTCTAATCTGGGAGAACCGGGTTTGAGTCCCCACTCCTCCACATGCAGCTGCTGGTGAGACCTTGGGTCAGTCATAAGTTCTGTAAGAGCTGTTATGTCAAGGGCAGTTCTCTCAGAGCTCTCTCAGCCCCACCTACCTCACAGGCAATGTTCCCTCTAAGCTGTGGAGCCCTGTGAGCAAAAATTCTACTTTGTGAGCTATTGGTATTAAAGTTGTGAGCAGGGGATTTGGCTGCTGCATAAATCAGTTTGCACTGGAGCCCTCCTTCCTGAGCGAAGACAAAAATGTGTGAGCCAGAGGCTAAAAAACTGTGAGCTAGCTCACACTAACTCAGCTTAGAGGGAACACTGCTCACAGGGTGTCTGTTGTGGGGAGGGGGAGGGAAAGGAGACGGTAAGCCGCTCTGAGACTCCTTCGAGTAGTGAAGGGTGGAGTATAAATCCAATCTCTTCTTCTTCAGGAAAAGTGGAAGTAGGACAAAGCAGTAAATGAATGGGGAAAATATGGTCATCCTTAGTCATTTGCTTTCCCTTGGTTACGTTTGTTATTGTAGCTGAACTGACAACTTATCTTTTCCTCCCAGAAACGGAACTGCAACTTTCTTTGCTCTGTGTGTGGCTGAACATTCTATTACGTAGCAGAAGTTCAGCCAATCAGGATCAGCGTCCTCCATGCCTCAAGTCCCAAGCAACAGGCTGCCTGTTGTGCATGTTGCTGCTCAAGGGGACAGATTCAAAGTGCACAAAACCCCTATTTGCATATTAGTCTTCTCTCACCATGATTCATTGTGGTTGGAGCACATTTAGCACATAACCCCGTCGATATCTTTTTTTGCTGCTTTTACTTTATTGAGCGCCCGGTAACCTAATTTAAAAAAAGAAGTCAACAAAGACGTCAAGATTAGGGCTTGTGTTCAGTTTTGGGCTCCTCCAGCATCCTTTCTTCTCACTACCTACCCGCCCTCATCCTCTCAGCCCCAAAGGAGGAAGTGAGGGAGAGCGGGGGGGGGGGGGGGGGGGAACTCACTGGAGGCGATGTGGTTGCACTTCTGTCTGTCACGGCTTCTTTGCTGTTGCAAGTGCAGCAGACGAGCCTCTCCCCCTGGGGGCACAGCCATGTCCCCTGGAGGGACTCAGTGACTCCTTCTATTTACCTGGCAGTCTTGGTGGCGGTGGGGTGGAGCTTGCCACACCAGAAAGCAGCCATGGTAAGTGCCAGTGGAGCCATAAATGGGGGGGGGAGGGGGAAGGTGCAGCATATTAAATCTTTTCATCCTGTTTTTTGCAAGCAATGGCACCACTTTAAAAAAATTATCTACCTATCTATCTACCATGTAGCCAGCTAGCTAGCCAGCCAGCCAGTTTGGTGCAGTGGTTAAGTGCGCGGACTCTAATCTGGGAGAACGGGGTTTGATTCCCCACTCCTCCACATGCAGCTGCCGGTGTGACCATGGGTCAGTCACAAGTTCTTTCGGAGCTGTTCTTTCAAGAGCAGTCCTCAAAAGAGGTCTCTCAGCCCCACCTACCTCACTGGGTGTCTCTTGTGGGGAGGGGAAGGGGAAGGGATTGTAAACTGCTCTGAAACTCCTTTGGGTAGTGAAGGGTGGGGTATAAATCCAATCTCCTCCTATCTCTCTGTCTGTCTATCTATGTACTTCTTCACCCAAAGAGTGATTAACACTTGGAATTCACTGCCACAGGAAGTGGTGGCGGCTACAAGCATGGACGGCTTCAAAAGGGAACTAGATAAGCATATGGAGCAGAGGTCCATCAGTGGCTATTAGCCACAAGGTATAGATAGGGACTCTGGGGCAAGTGATGCTCTGTCATCTTGGTGCTTGGGGGGGTCAACAGTGGGAGGGCTTGTAATGTCCTGGCCCCACTGGTGGACCTCCTGATGGCACCTGGTATTTCTGGCCACTGTGTGGTACAGAGTGTTGGACTGGGTGGGCCTTTGGCCTGATCCAACATTGGCATCTCTTATGTTCTTATGTTCTTATCTATCATCTATCTATCTTGTTAATAATGCTGGGTTTAACTTGAACTCACACAGTTGGTAAAGGAATTGTCGGGTTAGCAGAGTGCTCAAGGCACATAACGCAGTAGAGCTTATCTGGTTTTTGTGTGCCAACAAGAAACAAAGTTATTCAGGGAGCCTCTTTATCTTTGCAAAAGCCAATAGGAGTCCTTTATTGCAATGAACTCCATTCTAGGCAGGATAGGGTGGAGACAGGATTCTAATCTAGTCTAACTAGCTAGGATGGATGGAGATGCAGGCTACGTGTCCTGCCCTCATGGTGTCGAGATGGAGAAGAGGTGGCACGGTGTGGAGAGAAGGTGTCAGGCTGGAAGGAAGGAAGAGTCCTCAAGAGTAGCAATCTACATATCAAAGAAGGTAGCAGCAGAGCAGCAGAAGGGAAGGATGATCAGGGTGCTGGCCTGTCTATCTCTCTGACTCTCTTATAGTCTCTTATAGTCCCCCTCTGAAACCTGAGGCTAAGAGACAGTGCAAAGTCCTTCGCCTCCAACCATTGAAACACCCTCTCTTTAAACTTCAGCAAGTTCTGGCTCCATGGGCTTGGATTGAAAATGTTGATTATGAATAGCTAAGAGATCCTCCACATTCTTGGGCACTCTGCCTCCCAAAGAGCAGATTCTGGACCTCAGCGCTGTGCTCACCCTTCTGGCATCCCAAAGGGCTGGTCACATTTGAAGCGCTGGGCTAGGCGGACAGTGTTTCAGCTCTCTCATCCGACTGTGCCCAGTCAGATATTTGTGGGAGAGTTCACAAGCACAGCACAATGAAGAGAAAGTTGTTGTTCAGTCGCACAGTCGAGTCCGACTCTCCGCGGCCCCATGGACCAGCTCCCGCCAGGCCCTCCTGTCTTCCGCCGTCCTCTGAAGTTGGCTCAATTTCATGTTCGTTGCATCGATGACACTGTCTAAACATCTCATCCTTTGCTGTCCCCGTCTTCTTTGACCTTCAATCTTTCCCAGCATCAGGGTCTTCTCCAGTGAGTGCTCCCTTCTCATTTGGTGGCCAAAGGATTTGAGCTTCAGTTTCATTATCTGGCCTTTTTTGTGTTTCCAACATATTTTGTGCACTCACAGGTCAGCTGCCTCTTAATACGGAGGTTCTGTTTTAAATCATCATTGCTTACGGCCCACTGAGAGAGAGAGAGATCAGCCGAGAATATGCTTTAAAGTTGTGGTTTCAAAGGTGCACACAGATGGAGGTTTGTGCTCAAGTCCTATTTTGCCTGATCCCTGTGGCAGATGTATAACTCTGGATTCTTCTGGAATCTTGCAGACACGTGAAGTGACTGGATTTATACCCCGCCCTTCACTACCTGAAAGGAGTCTCAGAACAGCTTACAATCTCCTTTCCCTTCTGCTCCCCACAACAGACACCCTGTGAGGTAGAGGTGGGGCTGAGAGAGCTCTCTTGACAACTGCTCGTGAGAGAACAGTTCTGAGAGAACTTGTGACTGACCCAAGGCCACACCAGCAGCTGCATGTGGAGGAGTGGGGAATCAAACCCGGTTCTCCCAGATTAGAGACCGCACTCCTAACCACTACACCAAACTGGCTCTCTATACACACTATAGAGCTAGACTGGTTTAATCTTCATTCCTTCTTCCCAGAAAACTCTGGGAAATAATAATTCCGCGATGAGAGAGAGATTTCAGTCAGCTGGGAAGTGTAAAGTGATATAAAACGGGTATGGCTTTTTAGTGTAGATAGTCTTGAACAGGGCTTTTTTTTGTAGAAAAAGCCCAGCAGGAACTCATTAGCATAATAGGCCACACCCAACACCAGAAACCCATTAGCCTATTAGGCCACACCTCTGACAGTGCAACTCATTGGCACATTAGGCCACACCTCCATGTTACCAGAAGTGTGCTCATCCAGCCACACCCACCTTTTGCTTCTTATTCTCTTTACCTTGTTTGTTGTCAAAACCCAGGGCCTTTCTTGTAGCAGGAACTCCTTTGCATGTTAGGCCACACACCCCTAATGTAGCCAATCCTAATGAGTTTCTGCTGTTGGGTGTGGCCTGTTATGCTAATGAGTTCCTGCTGGGCGTGGCAAACTTGGGAGCCAGCCGGAACTCCGTTCCTGTGCGTTCCGGCCCAAAAATAGCCCTGGTCTTGAATTCTATGATGGATGCTAGTAAATCTACACTTTGTAAAGGGAGAGGTGTACACTTCCTGCTACCCAGCATCTGGAACAGTTCTGAAATTCTAAGAGAATTGTATTAGAAGTCTGATATTTTTGTTCGCTGGTTTTGAATCAGCGTGACGTAGCTGAGTCTAGCTGTTCCGACCAACACAACTCCCCTCTGAAGCGTGTTAGACTTTGATTATAGTGAGCTGGGTCTAAATCTTTGAATCGCTTATAAAGCCTCGGCCCAGTCACCCACTTTCAACCTAACCTGCTTCACAGAGCTGTCGTGAGGGCAAAAGGGAGGAGCCCTTGGCATTCCATGGAGGGAAGGTGGCATAGAAATTGACATTCTGGTTTAGTCTGGAAGTGGCAACCCCCTGAGAAGACACAGAAAAGAAAGAGGACTGGGAGAACTGACCCTTCACTAAGGCAAACAGCCTGTTCGTGGACTGTACA